TCAATTGGTTGCCTCCCACACACGCCCTGACCAGGGCTGGGGATCGAGCCTGCAACCGAAGGAGGGGCTGTTGGCCGGAATCGAACCCGGGACCCTTCAGTCGGCGGGCCGACGCTCTAACCACTGAACCACACCGGCCAGGGCCCTCCTCCCTCCTGACAGCGGCTGTGCCCCTCTGCAGACCTGGAGCTGGTCTGAACGCTCCTTCTAAGAAGCACCTGGGTCGTGCGAGATCTTAAATAACCCAGAGGCCCTACGCCGTGGGGCCAGCAGAGGAATTCTAAATGTTTTCATTGTTCTGAAAAGCCTGGAAAGCCTAGTCGACAATGGGGTGTGCGCACACACACACTTGCAACCACAAATACCTGCCCGGCCGCTGCCCAGGCCCCTTCTCAGGTTCTCCACAGGTCCACAGGTGCCATGTAAATCAGGTCAGGCCAACAAGGTGTACCTTACCTTTCGGGGGACACCGCTACATCCTGCCGCTCCCTCACGCCCTCCCAGCCGCTGAGAGGGTCTAGGCTTTCTCCCTGGGGATCTGCCAGAGGCTGGGCCGCCCCTAGCAGCTACGCAGGCCCCAGTCCCTTCCCAGGGGTCCCCCTCTTCTCACATCTCCTGCACTTGACTAAACTCACCTGCTTTCAGGTCAGAAAAATAAGGGCTTAGCGCTTGATGGGCCTAAACCTCGTCTGGAAGACGGGGGAAGAGCTGAAACCAGACCCGAGCGTTTTTATTGCATCTCCACATTACCTGTTCACGTTTACTAAACACGCAGATTTCTTCCCGGGTCTGTTTACTGTGGGGTGGGGGTGGGGGAGTTGTGTGCTGATTTATGGGGCAAGTGGCCTTGTCACGTCAGGCCTCCAGCAATCTGACCTTTAGAGATGATTTTAACTCCAGTTACTGGGAAGCAAGTAGGAGTCACACTGAGCTGTGTGTCCGGCGAGCGAAGGCGGCTCCGACGTGACCCGTCCCAGGAGGGCCTGTGCGTTAGAGGCGGTTCAGACAAGGATGTGGGCCTGCGCGCAGGAACAGGGAGCGATGGGAGAGCAACCGGCCGGCAGGGCTGTGAGGGGAGCCATCTGCCCTGAACCCGGTGTCCCCGCCCTGCCGAGGCGTCCGGGCCTCACGGTACAAAGGTGCGCCTTTGCTGGGGGAGATCAGGTTTACTTCCTGCCAAACAGGCATCGCTCAGCTGCGAACGCTGGCCTCCCGCCGTCCCTCCTGGAGCCCGTGTTTACTTAGCCTTGGAGCTCGGATCTCTGTGGCAACCCCGTTTGCAGGAGCACCGGGCGTGTTGCTACACGGGCTCCCGGGGAAGTGGCGCCAGGAGGGCCCGTTCAGACACATCGCATCGCCCCGAACCGTCTCCAGAGGATCTGAAACATCCCGCGCGGCCAGAGGCTAGTATCTCTTACGACTTTCATCCCCACCCCCAGGCCTCTCTTGGGGAGAATCACCCAATTTCAGGACCTTGTTAACTGCTACTGTCCACACCCACAGTCACCTGCACAGGCCATGGCCCACCAGTACCCAAGCCAGGGTCGCAGAGCTGTTTGTAAAGAGCAATAGAGTGTAGCATTTTCAGCCTTTGTGGGCCATGCAGTCTCTGCCGCAACTGCTAACACAACGCACAGTACACACACGATACACAATACATGGTACATATACAACACACAGTACACACAACACACAGCGCACACAATACATAGTACGCACGATACACAGCACACGCAATACATAAATGAATGGGTGTGGCCATGTGCCAATAACTTCATTTATGGCCACTGACATTTGAGTTTTATATAATTTTCACATGTCACCAGATGTTATCTTTTTTATTTTCTTTCAACCACTTACAAATGTAAAAGCCTCGCTCAGCTCACAGGCAGCACAGAAGCGGGCACTGGGCCGGATCTGGCCTGTGGGCTGTGGCTTGTCTGCCCCCGACCTGTGTACCCGAAAGCAGGGCGGGCTCCCCACCCACCGCAGCCCCAGCCCGGCCAGGTCACTGCCCTTTCTGCGGGTTAATGTTCTGACTCTGCCTTTTTCATCCACAGCTCTGGCCCTGGGGGGGGGCGGGGGGGGGCAGCAATAACCCAGGAGCTTCTGCATTTTGCTGAAGTCTCAGCCCAGGACAAAGCCACCGAAGGGCCCGTCTCCTGGGGAGTGAAGACGCTGGGGGGAAGGAATCAGGTCTCCGATTTCCTATCCTGCCGGGTGAGCGTGTCAAAGACACACTGAGCCTTTCTCCAGAAAGGGCAGCAGGAGTCACGGGACAGCGATAAAGGGCAGCTCAGCGCGCAGGCCGCCCAGCTCCCGGCCGCCTCCCCCACGGGGCCTCTGCCCGCGCTCAGGGGCAGGATGCCCCGGGGTCGACCGGAGCCCCTGACGCTCTTGCCCGGGGAGAGAACGGAGCTTATGTCAATCTTGCCATCCTGTCCGGTGACAGCTAGTGTCACACTTTCCGAAGATTGCCCGGACGGCCCAGCACAACCCACACTCTTAACCCTCGCAAACCAGCCATCACGCTGCCTCCGAGGGCTCCAGGTGGTATTTCCTGCTGTCAGGAAACCATTTTGATTTGCCTGTCACATCACATGCAGAGCCAGGGAGGAGCTCCCCTGGCTAACACCTCCGAGCGCTTTGCCACCAGGGCACCGGCTCCAGCGGGGTGGGGACAGTTCTAATGGGGCTGAATCGCCCCTTAACACTCATCCAGGCCATTGCCTGGCAGCGTCCACAGAGCAAACCCTGCTTAATAAGAAGGGGACATAGCAGGTCGAGTGTTGTAAACATGATCTCACGATTCTTAAACATTTCAATCATTATTTTTACTGACTTACAGCGTATTAAATGTTTTTTGTATAAGGGGGGCCTGGTGAAATTCTATAGGTCCTCTGCCCCTTTCCAAGTGCATCGTGATGGGGATTCTGACGTGGGAGGGACACAGGCAAGATCCAGTTTAAGTGCCCTCGGCAAAGGAATCAGGAGAGAGAGAGAAAAACTACAAAGACACAGCCCCAAAGGAGGCCGTGTTCTGAGCCACGTAAGGAAAACCGCTCGTCCCTTAGGCCTGATTCTGTCCCTGAACCACGCTACACACTCTGGGCGTCAGCTGTGCCCATGAGAAGAAACCCGCCGCCTGTTATTTCAAAGGTCCCCCGAGGATGGCACGGCTGGAGCTCCTCACTGGCCAGCGCTGACCACCTCACACCCGCTGTGCTCTGCAGCACCTTGTGTGACCTCCGAGACAGGACCCGGAGGCAACTCGAAGGAGCCCGTCAACCCCCAGCAGCCCCGAGGGAAACAGGACGCAGAAGGGCCCGGTTCCTAAATGTCACTTAGGCCTGGAAGGCTCTGCCGCCCCTGCCAGCCAAGCCCTTTCAGACTTCCTGGGGATGAAACGTGAGAGAAGATAAACTTTGCATTCATCCTTAAAAAGTCACAAAATAAACAACATCCCAACATAGGCCGGACGGGAGGCTCGGGGCACATGCTAAGTAATGCTCGGGCTCAGGAGGCTTTCTCTGAGGGAAAGCGGGACCCGGGGCGGAGAAGCACCTGCGATTCTGGCTCAAGCATCGCTGGCCCTCTGCATCCCGGGCACCGCTCCCTTTTCTCAGCCGAGAGGAGGGAGATGGAACCGACCCCTCCACAGCCCCTCGCTCCACTCGGCCCCCCGGAGCCCTCCTCACTGCCCGGCCTCTTTGTAAAAGTCAGGCCAAATAATGGAGATCAAAAGAAAACGCGTGTCCACACAAAGGCTTGTACAAGGACATTCGTAGCATAACCTGCCCCCTCAGTCTCAAAAGCACAGAATGTGCACCATTCATCTTCCGAGAACCTGGGTGTGAAGCCTGCTTGACACACACCTGCAGGACCAGCAAGTCCACCCTCCGCCCTGGCCAGGGGGACCCCAGAGGTGAAAACACCCGGGGGCTGCAGTTAGCACCCTGCACACCTGTGATTAAACGCTGCTCTCGCTTGTTAAAATCTCACACTTTGGGGCGGGATTGTGACCCTGCTCTATGGAAAACAATCGGCAGGTAGCCCAGGAGATGAGTAAATGCAGAACTGAGACTGCGGGTCACTGTCCAGGCGGCTGGCCAGAGCCCAGCTCCACTAACAGCCTCAGACACAAGACCCCAAAGGTGACCCTTGTGATCACCAGCGACCCTGAGAGGCTGAGGGCACGGCCGGAGCCTGGGAGGAGCCTGGAGGCTGGCAGCAGACGCCATAAAGCCCAAGGGTCGCCCTGACCGGTTTTGCTCAGGGGTTAGTGTCGGCCAGTGGACTGAAGGGTCCCGGATTCGATTCTGGCCAAGGGCAGTGCCTCAGTTGCAGGCTTGACCTCGGCCCCGCTCGGGACTCACACGGAGACCAGTCGATGTGTCTCACATTGATCTCTGTCCCCCCTTCCACTCTCTCTGTAAAGCAGTGGAAAAAATATCCTCAGGTGCGGGTAAGAAAATAATAAATAAATAAAAATAAATAAAACCCTGAGTCATAGGCTCGCACTTGTTAACAAGCAAAAGGTTGCTTCTCTCTGCAGATTCCTGGCAGCAGGGAAATGAGTAAAATCATTTTTAAATTTCCTCAAGTTGGTCTTTGTGAGATTTTGAAGCAAATTCTACTCTCTGCACATGAGGAGGAAGCCAGCTGAAGGTTTGGGGGTCCGACCTCCTGTCTCCCCTCTGAACCCCACGCCCACCCCTACGGTAGCTCCCACTTTGCAAATCTCCCTCCCCCACCATCTCTCACCTGTTCCCCTGGGAGCAGTTGGGGCCCAGAGAGGTCCGATGAGACCCCGCTGCCCCGAGAGCAGCAAAGCCAGGGCTTGAACCCACCTCCCTGGTTCCCCTGGGATCCACGTGTCCCAGGCACTACCCCCCCCCCGTCTGTAACGAACAAGAACCCCCGGCTCTGCCCTCCCTGCAGCTGCACCAACAGCACCGAGCCCCCCGCCCGGCCCAGGAAACCATCGGGTGAGACAGGAGTGTTAAAAAAATAAGCTGCGTGACATTTATTTTGTCTTGTTAACATTAATATCTGTAGAAACATTTTTATTGTCAGTATAAAAATTAACAGGCTTTATTAAATACTTTCTCCAATTTCATAACGCGTACAATCAGTGTATTCCGCATTCGTGGTGCGTGGCTACGGCGAAGTGAGCAGGTGTTTCGGAAGCAAAACACTTCCCTACGGGACCAACCGCGCGGTGAGAATTCGCCCGAGGCTGGCGCCGGGCCGGATCCACGAGGAGGTCCTGCCGGGTGCCGCGGGAAGCGATCCCTTAAGAAGATGGAAGCGCGCCTCCCAGACGATCAGCAGAACTCGGTGTTTCCATTTCCTGCGACGAGTCGCCCACGAATCTGGAGGCCACTCTCCAGGTTCACCGATGAGAACGCAGGCGAAGCCGGCGGCCGCGCCTCTGGGCAGGAGGCCAGCCGCCGGGGAGGACTCTCGCCATCACCTCGGCCGAGGTCCCTCCTTGAGGAATGGATTAAGGCATCTTGTTAGGAGAACGCTGGTCCCACTGGTCTGGGGAAGTCCAGTTAAAGGTCACATGGGCCCAGGGACAGGGCTGCACATCGAACCCAACACCCCGTTAACCGGTTCTTTCCACACAGACGTGCAGTTGGCTTAGGAACAACCATCGGACAGCAGAGTTTAAACACAACTTTATCTCCCCCCAAATCGGTCATCTTCGGTAAATATGTCTCGTTTCAAAGGATCTGATAACCAGTTAGGTCCAAGCAGTAGATTAACTAGTCCGGTGCACAGCCTGCGTAGAAACGCCACTTAAATTACAAAAAAAACCCCCAAAAACTATAAATGATTAATTGTTTTGTATATTACCAATCCATTAATAAATTAATGTTATACCATTTTCCCTGAAAGCAAAAGTATTTTTTCCACCTCTGCTCGGTGGAAATTAAGAAACTCTGGGTAAGAACAGCATTTATAGCAAATAGCTATTTCAAAAAAGAGAGAGACCAATTTTCTAGGTGCACTGGGACATCCATTTAGAATCAATACAAAAAATAATTCCTTGTAAATATATAATATATATTTATACATAATTTGAATATATTTACATACACCCAGCACCTCTGTACTGCCGTTGTGCTCTGTAAGTGTGTGCTGACATATATTTTCTCCAATTATTACAAAATTCACAAGGAAGGCAGGACGTGCGTCTGCCTCGAGTCCGGCTGGTCCACAGCCAGCGCCCACAGCGGGCCACAGGCGCGTGGTGGCCCACGCAGTCCATCCCTCGCCCCAGGGACGTTCTTCCCCTGGCGAAGGTGACGAGTTTCCAGCCGTATAAACTCTTTACACGTGTGCCGATTACATTTCCGATTATTTACTCCTCTGATCCGTATATACAAGTGGGGACAGCAGCTCCCGGGGGCATCGCCCCCCTGCTCAGTGCAGCCAGGCTCCTGGGGCCGCCCGTGTGGGGACCGGGAGGCCAAGCTCGCTCATGTCTTAACGCTGCCGTTTACGTGTGGATACTGAGGGAGGCATGGTTCGTAAGGCATGGGGTCCGGAGAGAACACAGAGTCATCCCCGGAAGAGCAGGAGCTCCTGGTGTCGGGGTAACTAGGTGAGTACTGTTCGAGAGGCTGGCTGAGGTCCAAGTACTCCTGAAAGAAGGGAAGAGAGACGTTTTATTTCATCTCGGGTCAGGACAAGGTGAATACGGCTCGAGAGGCTGACTGAGGTCCAAGTACTCCTGAAAGAAGGGAAGAGAAGACTTTTATTTCAACTGCAGGCTCCGGAAAGGGTGACACGGGAGCTGGGACGGGGGGCCCCCGGAAGGTGCAGAGACCCCGCTGCCCACCTGGCTGCACAAAGGCCTCCTGCAGACCCCACCCCTATTTCCTCCAGGCTGCCCTTTACTTTTCCCTTCTAACCCGTCAGGACAAACGACTGGCGAGCGGGGAACGCTAGAGCCTCGCCGGACGGACGGCAGGAGCTCGGACCCAAAGGATCTGTTTGGTCTCTGCCCCCTCGCTGGTGCCCAGGGTTCAAATCCCAGCCCCAGCACAATGAAAACGCACAAGATATGGGTTCCCCAGGCCCCTAAATAGTTTAGACCAGAAATATTTATTTCACAAATTACATTTGACTATTGCGTAGTTTCTGGGATAACTTGATTCACAGACAACTCTGGGAAGCTCTCTGAGTTCGAAACATACACAGGGTCACAAAACCCTTGGATGGACGCAAGGGTGTTAAAACCACAACAGACTGTCCAGGGAAAGTGTAGGAAAATAGAGGTTCCAGCTTCACAGTGTTGAAGGTCTGGAATTCGAAACGGCCCCCTGCCCCCCGTGGCTCCCGTGGCGCGGCCCCCAGGCTGGCCCAGGGTGGCCCTGCCTCTGACTCGGGGGCAGGGTGAGCACCGCCCTGCACTCGGACGGCCCGGGAGCTAAGAGCAGTTTCTAACATTTTTAAATGGTTAGGGGGGAAAAAAATATCAAAAGAGGATGAATATCTCATGGCATTTAAAATGATATAAAATGACAAAATTCACATAAAATTTAAATGTGAGGGTCCATCCAGTTTCTCCAGAAAAGAGACACACTCGTCGCTGTCTCGACACAGGCAGAGCGGAGCTGTTGCAACAGGGACCACAAGGACCATACGGCCCACGAAGCCGAGGGTGTCCCCCCAAAATGTATACACACACTTAGAAGAATTATAAAGGTGGCGTTTATTAAAATACATTTCATTTTCAGAATGTATGAGAATCAGCTGTTAAAGTGCATATACATTTTGGGGGACACCCTGTATTTACTGTCTGGCCCTTTACAGAAACGGTCTGCAGACCCCAACTCTAAAACTATGGAGAGACTGCTGAACGGGGAGCTCCCGGGCCTCAGGGCCTCCCTGCGCCGGGTGCCTCTGCCCACACAGCCCGGCGCAAAGCCCGTCTGACACACGGCTTCGCCGAGAGGCGGCAAGAAGTGCCGACCACAGCACCCCCGGCCTCGGGGTTATCAGAAGAGAGCCCACAGAATGTTGGCGACTACACATTTGAAAAGACAAAAAAACCAAACGACCCACTATAATTCATCACGCGGGCTGGCAAGGAGAGTCCCGCCTGAGAAGGGGGATGTGTCAGCTCCAACAACATCAGCATTAACCGCACAACTGGAAACAAACACACCCACCACATCAAAGAGCGCTTTTTGCTTACAATGATAAAAATGAAATTCTGTCCTAAATGGAACCATTTTTCTTGCCCATGTGGTAATGATTTTCAGAAGGAAAGAAAGTTCGATTTTTATATCCGCTAGACAATGTGGGACTCTGCTTTTTTGCTTAAGGACGCAGGATGTGAATTTCAGTGGGGACGGGCCCACGTTAAATGTAAACATATAAATACCCAGCGTGGAGAGTGGACGTAAGACCATTAAAACGGAACTTCAGCGGTTCTAGTGTCTAAATGAAGCCGTAAATGGGAAAAGAGGAATATCCGTGGATTCCAAGCCTTGGGTTAAAGGAACTCATACTAGAAACAACAATTTTGGCAGGAGAAGAAAGTTGGTTTCTTTCCCCTTGAACTGCTACTTTCCTTTCAACTTCTGGAGGTCAGCTGCGTTCACTTAAGCGCAAGCTCTCCGCTTATCAGCCGCAGGCAGGCTCAGCCGATAGCGCGGCCGGCGGAGGCTTCGCGCCACAGCGCTGGGTTCGTCTAAATCACTCTGAAGCTAGTGTGTTACTCAACAATAAATGTGTTATTTTCTTTCTAAGATATTTATCCATTTTAACCTTTGACTTGTTGTGACAACTGTGGGTTTGGGGTTCCCCTCCTGTCTGAAGGGGCTCTGCACCCTCACTGAGGGGCAAAGACTCGCTGGCCAACGATCTCTCTCCGTCGCGGGGTCTCTCCGGCCTCACGGGTTTGCCCTCCCTGCTTAGATCCCGCTCCTTCCACCACCACAGCGTCTACTCCGCGAGCACAAGGAAGCGGCCCCGGACGCGACGAACTAGACCGTGAGCGACAGTCGGCAGAGGTGCTGCCTATTTTCTAGAAGATAAATATTTTAGCAAAAGGTACAAGTTCTCCCTTAAAAATCACGTAAGCCACTCATTATAAGGAACCATGTGTAGTTTACATGCACGGAGATGAAGGCCCCAAGCACAGGCCGTGACCAGGCGGGGCCACGGTGGGGCCACGGCGGGGCCACGGCGGGGCCACGGGCTGACTGGGTCGCCTGCTGTGTGGAGGGGGAAGGGCAAGACTTCGGGGCGCCCGGGCCCGTTGGTACCCAAACATCAGCAGTTCGCACACCAATGACCAGAGTCCACCCAGGCTCCTTCCCGTGCCAACCCCAATGCTGTGCTGGGCGTTTCTTTGGCCGCCCC